TGTACCTTTACATAATGCATCTTGGTTCTTATTTTTTCCCCATTCCTAGCCCTCCCTTCACGCCCTCCACCCTTCCGTATTTACAAAGACTTTATTTCCATTTTTTCCATTTCTCATCATTTTTTCCTTTCCCTTCTTTCCTTTCCCCTGCCCGTCCCACTACCCCTACCCCTTTGGACCTTTTCTTCCTATTTTACATTATCGATTATTCATAGAATAGTTTTTAGAATCATCCTGGCTGCCATGATTTTAGATATTTTCTATAATCTTTATACATTAATGTGTTACAGTAATTACCTTTGGTCTGTTCTGATGGGATTGGGCTCTGAATCGAGTGCAAATACAGTAGTACGACAGTGTGACTCCCAGCCTGGCATGATGACAGTCCTGAAAGTGCCAGGCAGCAGCTGCTTGCATCCCAGGGCCTGCTCTGCACCTGGGAAGGTCCTGAGGTCTCAGAAATCCTCCGTCTCATGAAGGAGTCATGGGAGACCCAAGTAAATGGGTTTTTTGAATTGCACTCAGAAGCAAGACTGCAGACAAGTGATGTCCGTGAGCAGGTCATCCTGTCCTCATCTCAAAAGGAAGAGTAATGTGGGAAGAATGAGAGGAAATGTAAGAACCATAGGGAAGGAAGTTGGGTGGAGGTGGAGTTGAGATTTGAATTGTTCTTTCAAAACCGATTCCCCTGCCAGTCTTTAGTAATGCGACAGATAAACAGGGACCCTTCCCTTGGACTGCATGTTGGAAAATGTTAAACTTCACCACAGTAGTATTACTTTGTGCAGACTCCATAAAAGTCACCTTGCAGCCACCTTTTTATAGGTAGATGTTTTTATCAGGGTGCACGGTGAGATAGCTTATGTCCCTGTGTAAGCTCTCTAAATCAACTGGACTAATTTCTCTGAGGAAACATTGGATTTGCCTTCTCCATCAAAATAAACATTATTTTCTTTCTTATCTTTTCCCTTTACTTTGAGCTTCAGTTTATATTGGGACTATAAACTTCTGACTACTGAATTAAGTTTTTAAAATAAAAACATCTTGCTGCCAGCCTCGAAAGTGAAAGGTCCCGAGTTTGATCCCCAGTACCAAAAAAATAAAAAATTAAAAAAATAAAAACATCTTCAGAATTTGATGCCAGAAAAATAGCCTGGAAATAAGTCACAGTTTTTAATGTTAAATACCAAAAGGCTGACAAACATAATCACAAATGGTGGAAAATCATCACCCAATACATATGAGGAATTTGTTAGGAAAAAATAACTATTTTCTTTTTTGAAACAGCTATGTTAAGGATCACAGTTTTTACTCTCTGGTGTTTGTCAAAGATAGATTATCCATCATATATGAATACCTTTCTGTTTCTGTTGAGAAGGCTCACATGTGGAGCAGTGAGTATGCTGACAAAACCTTTCTTTACTGAACGCTGAAATTCCTAATTTTCAAACCTAACGTTTGCTCTACTTATGAAGAGTATTTCAGTTTTGTAGGGAGACTCCAATTTCCCACATGAGTTGTTTTTTTCACCTTCTGTTCAGATTAACTAGAGGTTTCATAATTCATATGTTGATTGGCTTTAATCCTTGTAGGCCTTATTAAAATGCGAGACTAACTGCAGACAGTCTGATTCAAAACAAATCAGGTAATTACATTCCCAGGAGTCTCTGGGCTTATATGCAAACGACTTCATTAAAAATCTTTCTTGAATGTTATACAGAAAAGCATAATTGTGACTATTAAGCACTGTGGAATAAATATCTCAGAGTAATTTTTATTTTATATACTTCATTTCAGTTCAGAAAATATTTTTGTTTTATGTAGAAACTACTTATT